TCCATTAAACTGCAAAACTGTTTTCTCTCATCAACTTGTGAACGCGAACTGTTACGATAAATTCAGGAAATCTCAAAGCTCGACTGCGCTATAATAAAAACAGCGTGAATCAACACACATATTTAAACAACATTGAAACATTCGTGGTTCGCACAAAACAAAACCCGACTCTTCCAATAGCAAGCAAAACGTGGCACAAAACAACTACCGTGCTTTGTTGCATCCCGTGTAATCGATTAAAGCAATTATAACACCCAACCTAAACAACAAACAAAATAAAAAACGCGAAACGTTTGTTGAGTACGACTTCGCCAAAATTTATCATCGAAAAATTTACTTAGAAGCGCAATTTACATTCATATACAGCAATAGCTATGAGCTGTCCAGAAAAGAATAAAATAATATCCAAATTAGGGATAAAACACACGGAAAGTCCTAGCACATGTTCTGGTTGGATAATGACCAACCGTTACATCTGTGAGGAAAATTTCTTCCCATATAAAGCAATCTTTGAGTAACTGTTGTTCTGAGTAATATATACATCGAGTCTCTATCGTGGTAATTTACGCACAAACATATGGATCTGAATAAATTAGCGTCACTTGGACGATCTTTTTTATATTTTTATGTGCTATCACAGATACCCACTCAAGTTTATCTTCGAGTCTCATGAAAGCGTTTAGTTGAGTTCGAGTCGAGTAATTCGACTATAAGTATATTTAATAATCGAATGCGAATGCGAAGATGCGATAATTTGATGAAGAACCCTGTTTGAAAACCATTGTTTTAGTTTCTCGGTGCTTAATAACTGTTGTTGGTGGTGTTATCGCGACCATTTTCACCCATTTCGAGTTGTTTTTACTTTTTATTTGTACATTGGCCGCTTATTGTACGTTTCTGTATGTATAGGTATTACTTTCTTATTAGAAAAAGGGTATTTTTTTTTATACGCGTGTATGATTAGAAATAAATATATTCACGGAACGTTAAACGTTATTCTCGCCTAAAACAAGCTTGGCACAGTTCGTTTATAATTTAATTAGCTGTCAAGGGCTTCGTTAAGATATTTTATTCTTTTAAAATAGCAATAATCTGCAATAATTTGCGTTGAATTAAATGTTAATGGAAACACAATTTAGAAGAATAGTTGAAGCTATGATATCAAATGCCATTTGATGGGCCTCCTCCGTACAATGCAATTTATGCTGCCACAAATACGATAACAAAAAAAAAATTGAAATTTCATATATTTGGAAAGTTAAAGTGTAAATTGCACACCTCTAATCACAAAACCCGTGCATATTTTACCTGGAGAAATGGCAAATTTATTACTTCGTTAGGCTTTATTGCACCAACGAATTTCAACAAGAATTGATTTTCTTTGATTTCGATCATTTCTAAAGGCTCTTGCCTCCTCTTTTTAAGATAATATTTTCTCACAAAAGCATAAACAACTAAAACGATCAAGCTTGCCAGATTTAGTCCAACTTGAACAGCAATAACATTTTGGTACAGACAATATTCAAGATTGTCATCTTTGACGGTATATGAAATTGCAAATGCAATTCCGTTTTCAATCATTAGTAAAATTAAAAAGAAGAAGTCGAATTTCAATTTGTTCCCGACTATCCATGTGAATATGAAGAATATACCATACACGAAACCTAAAAACAATGGCTGAAGCAAATTCACAGAAAACGTAAACGACATTTCATCTTGCCTAAAGAAATACAGACATATCAACATACTTACAATAATCCAATGAATTCCTAGAAACAATACACTCCACCATGCTAAATAATACACAAAATATACAAGAATAAAAATTCTTGCAATTAGAGCAAGACCTTTAGAAGTGTAGATAAATAAATAATCAACCCATGAGAATCTTGTTTGATTGTTGTCATCAGGATCTTCATTTACGTCATCATTGTCCGTTAACAATGTTCTATCAAGAACTATTATTCCGTGAAACAATGAAATAAACGAAAGAAAAGCCGAGATGCATAAAACAGCCCTAAATTTTTGATCACAAGTTGAAAGCACGTACAAGATGATTTAAAGTTGTGGAATTGACTCAAAAACAGTTTCCAAATTTTTAAAGGTTGTTAACGAAAAACGATCAGCAGGCTCGATCTTGCCTTCACGAAGCAAACCAACAATACATATTACATTTCCAATCAAAATGACAGTTCCTATAGAAAGCGAAACCGTTGCCAAAATTGCAATAGTTCCTATTTGATTTCTCCAATAGATTGCCAGTGCAATGGCGTCGGAGACAGTATCCAGAATTACTAAAGTCAACAAGAAGCTCAGTTTAAATTCTTGTTTTAGCAACATCGGATAAATTCATTTTTGATCTATGTGACTCATTCTGTGAAGGTAAGATATTTTTTATTGCAAAGTGAATTTAGACTATTGAACATAGCTTTACTTTGCCCTAATGTACATGGGCCCCTATTATACTCTATATTCTATAAGCTATATAATAGTGTCGTATGCGAAAAATTGAGGGTTGTGGCCTAGGAGGGATGTGTTGTTGTATCTATCTCTGAGTGAAACTGCATTTTATTCTAAGAGCGGGGTAAATATGACTTGAAAGTACGATTGTTGGCATAATACTGATAAATATCGCCAGACACCGACTAGAGCTCTCAATATGGTGAATATATATGAAAAAAAACTCATTTATATATTTGATTATAATTTATGAAATGAGAGATGCCAATGTCAAGTCAAATGATTTCTTTTCAGACATGCAAATTTAGTTTTTCGGGTCTTTGATTGGGTCGCTTGATTAAATTAAACGCAATGCCTTCCAAGTTTGATACCGAATTAATCTGAACTGAACAGAAGCTTCACGCGTGGTGACAGTTGACCGTCATCTCTCTCGCACTCTACTTTGTCACCTCTGTTCTATTTTCATTATTCTTGTAGAGATTGCACATTGCCTAACAGCTAACTGGAAGTCCTCTAAATCCTAAATTACGCATACTAAGCAGTAGCTAAACTTTTCTTCGCGTAATTAACGCAAGGTACGTGGGACTCATCGAGTAAATTTGCTTGTGTGAAGCTTTTTTATGCATTGGATTTCACGCAGTTTAAAAACGTGTTCACTTAGTTTTAATATTCGAATCATTAATAAACTAATTTTTTGTTTCTTTCGAACCATAAAACATTATTTAATGCGGGAATTAATGAACCTAAAACCAAAATCTTCAATTCTGTTTATTTGCAAAATAATAGCTGTTCAAATATAAACAGGTGAACATTATTATTATTCAATCGAAGTTAACACTATTATTTCGTGTTGTGGTGAATGTAAACACATTCTATCGCACCCGCTCTATGCACGGGCCATTCATCACACTCTGAAATACAATTTAATTTCTCAAACTTCGTCAACTGATCAACTGCGTCAAAGCAAATAACCCTTGAGACTTGCTGTGTTGCACATAACAGTGCAATTAAATGTCTCAGTTTGCAGAGGTGTTATAATATGAATGAATATGAAGAGGTGTTATGAATGAATGAATCCAGTATTGACAATCCCACCCCTTTTCCACAATTGAATTATTAAGGCTAATAGATTAATAATGTTTCCATAATAATGCTCTATAATTTCAAATTTCGTCAACTTTACAGAGTTGTTTTAACAGTATCTTTGCAGTTGTAGGTTACTTGATAGCTGTATACACTGTTTGAGACTGTCAGACAGAGTTAGACTAACAACCAGGTTAATTATAAATCCATGACCCGGAAAGCAACTATGCTGCAGACGGACTCGGTCTTGCAAGTCTAAATCGTAGAATACAGGTCCATAGAGAAATACATCAGGCAAAGAAGTTTGACACCCGGGGAAAGGGGGAATCATTATAACAGCCCACTCTTGCTACAGCATCCTTGTATTATATGTATCCACTGACGTAAAATCATAAAATCAGGAAAAGTAGTTTGTCCCGCAGAAACCTAGAATTACACATCCTTTTGTAAAAAGTATTGTTGGAAAAATAGACTTAGGAGCCTAAAAAATCCAACCTAAATAAAGCCTCTAACTAAGAGAATGAAAGTAGCAAGTGTATCCGTGGTATTCAAATTTGAATATTATCCCAGGATATCGATCTCAGTTTTTATACCTTCGTTCAGGGACCCGTTTTACATTTCTTTGTGTTTGCGAACACACGTTGGATCAAGGGATATTTATGAACCAAGATGATATATTTCCCGCAAGTTGGTTGGCCTTACATGGGATATTTTGACCGATAAGACGAAGCAATCAAAGATTTTTTCCAGGCCCGTGTTTTATTGAAGTGAAATGATTAAAAACGCGCTCTTCGACATTAAGAAAGATCAATGCTTGGGGAGCTGGAGGCATTGACTCATCATTTATCACTGACTCGAGCAATATAAAGGCAACTCGGGCTCGTCATCAACTAAGTCAGTGTTTCCCAACCTTTTTCAAACAACCAGAAATTTTAGAAAATAAAGTCTTGTAAAATCCCGCGACCCAAGGATATGCTCAAATATTAAACATCATGTAGCACAGCATTAAACAGCATGTAGCACCTTTATGGTCGCAAACTTGATGTCTAATATAAAACAATCATTTTTACATATATCGAAATATACCGAAAACCGCCCAAAAATTAGAAAACCGAGTTTGTCAGCCATGAGCGAGTTTTTGAAGTAGTGGCGTAGCTTGAGTAAAATAGATGTCACCAGCTATCTATCGTGATGGTAACGTTTGCGCAACGTTAATAAAATATAACAAATTTCTTAAAAAAACAAGCGATCCAATATGATTTTCATGCGCGATCCACAGATTGAGAAATACTAAACTAAGCGAGACGTAAACTCAGAGGACGACTCGAAAATCAGTTGACGCGTGTCTCGCATTAGATATATCTAACCAACATTGTTAGTGAATATTATAATCAAAGAAGCTTTTTTCACTTCGGCTTACCGTTTTTAGGATATTAGTAACTATAAAGACAAGAGTATTTCCAGTCAGCACATTTTATTTACATTGGAACATTAAGAATAAAATTGTAAGTTTTTACAAATATTCCAAGCACAAAAATAACGTTTATTCGTAGGTAAAAATAAAAACCAATAGACAATTTCTCCACGATTAAAAATCAAATACTAGTGCACTGAGACCAGATATGAGTATACCAAGAGCTAAGAACAAACTTGGGGATTCTAAAATACGACACTGTAATAGATTGAGAAACTTTCAGTCGAAGACGTAAATATTTACCGAAATAGTGAGTATATTTATCCAAAAGAGTGAGTATTTACGTGGAAGTATATACTCATTTAAATCAGTCATAAGTTACTAACTGTGTGATTACAGTATTTCGTATATGAAGTACCTTCGGGTGTGAAGGTTACTTGAGGTTATAGATATACCATGGATAGTTAAGTTCCGTAGTACAAACAAAAATTATATTTAAAATTTGATTCTAAGACAGCAATCACACCGAGATAAATTGGTACTAAACAGTTCTTCCCTGACTGACAATGTGATAAACTAAATCAGAAAAAATAAATTAAAACCGGGATGACCCCCATGGAATTCAAGACATGGACTAGTAATACGCCAACGCCAATAGGTAGGCGCTGCTTCTCGGCTATGGGTCAAACCGAAGATGAGATAATCATTGACAGAACAATCTATTTTCTTTTCATTTATATAGGACAAAAATGAAAATAAGTCTTGTAGTCACTGATTCCAAGGTTAAAAGAATAATATATATTTCATTTTTTGTTATATATATAGTTGGTTAGTTTATAGTTAGAACAACAACAATCACCCACAACAGGAAGTATTAGGACAAAAACTTACGGAAAATGTACATAGAACGTACCATCGGATGAAAAATTGGAACATGGCAGGTATTTGTAATTGTATCCACCAGTTTAGTATAGATCATCACACAGTTCATAAATGGTGAAATGTACTGGCGCTTGGAAACAATATTCGTTTTTAAAACTTCCGTGTATTAAAAAATTAGATCGGTGTATGTTGGGTATAAATATTTTATAAACTTTCAAAATTACCACAATACATGATTATTTCATTGGTTATTTAACAGTACTGTTACCAGTCTGTATTGAATATAGTGATGTTCATTGAAAACCTAACATATTAGGGCAAGATCGCATCTCTCTCTTGTCTATTTACCGGTTAGCATACTGACTATGCAAGTTGTCTGAACAGCCGATTTGTACTGTTTTTAGGCGCAGAATCTAATCAACATTGTACCCTCTCCCCTCTAGGCTTGTCGCGTAATGCCTGTCGGAAGTGCAGCATACTGTGACATGATGACAACAACTGTGTGTCGAAAATGATGATTGTGCCTTAGCCTGTGCTTTGCGATCTTTTTGAAGGATGACATAATCATTGTAGGACGTCATATTCATATGTAATAACAATGATCAATAACAAGAAATCAGTTACTGTTCTGACGATTGGAACCGATTAACACTTTCATAACAAAATTTACAATAGCACGAGCCGGTTGCGCTGAGTCTAGCTCAGCAAATACATGACATGTGTTGTCTCTTGATCCTGCCTGTGCGCGCGCAACGAAGCCGAACAACCTAAATACAAATGAATCCATTAGGAATGATTGTGGCAAATATAAATTTTTGAATTTGATTAAGGTTTTTTGACTAACCTAATAAATAGAATCAATAAACAAGTTGTTCGTGGAACCAAATTGAACACACGACATTTTGCAATAATTTCAAAGTTTGTATATTGTCTGTAAGAAGCTCTTACTTGCCTGGCCAAAGGCTAATCAGAGAACTTTTATTTTCGCTTGAAGCGACATGCATGACTTGGTGGCTGGCACATCAGGCCAAACATTATGATTTATGTTTGTTTTTTTATTTCAGTGATAATTATTTAATTTTTCCAACCTTTAGTTAGAATGTTTGTGATTTTTTGCGATAAATTATTATAAAAAGAAACTTCAAAAAAGTAGACCAATCACGATTTCTCTTTGAGTAAAGGGAGTAAAAGCGATACAAATAGAAGCAATTTTAATCTTGATTAATAAAAGTGCGAATAATGAAATATCCAAAAAACTCACCATGCGTCAGGACTTCCTCGTAATGTAGACGCATCCCATCTTCTCATGTTTTGTCCTTTATTTGCTGATCCTTGTGGATCTAATCCACAGAACGTTACTGTTTGTGTCGGGTAATGTCGTCGGAAGAATAATCTAAGACATTATGAGAAAATTAAATTAGGGAAATTTTTACAGTTCGGTAGAAGTAGAAATAGAGCTAGTATTCACCAGGAAGTTATAGGAAACAATACAAGTCACCGAGCAGGGAAATCCCACGATGTGAAGTACACGAAATGGAATAAGCTAATCAACAAATATAAGGCTCACATCGTAAGATGGCCACTAGTCGGTTATCACTTATCAGATCTAGAGAAATCTAGACACAGAGATATATAGTCTGCAATCCGCTGACATTTGTAGTCTTCCAATGTTTTCATTAGAAAACAAGCTGACATTTACGTATGAGTGATACAAACCACACATATTGAGCCTTAATTTAAACATAAACCAATATGAAGACCAACCAAGAAACCAATATGTATAAGTTTCTTACTTTCGTGCATTATCTGTCAATGTTATTCCTTGTGGTGAGACTTTGAAATGAACAATGGATGTTTGGCTGGGATTTGTCCGCGCACTTTGATATGTTTCTAGTATAGCTCTTTCAATTGCCTGAAATAACAAAAAAGGATATAAGATTTATGGAATTATGAATTTAAATAATTTCGGTCATTACTTCTCGAATTCAAGTGACATATCCAAAATGTTTTGAAATGATATTTCAACTTCTGAAGTATCTTCATTTTATATCAAACTGGTTAAAAGTATGTAGAATAGGGATAAAATGTGAATTTCGTCATACGAAAGAAGCGTACAGATGTTATGTTGTATCTGAGAAAGGTTAGTCAGAAATTTGAGGGTTAAATATCTCGCATATTTTGCATACAACTATTCGCATATTCGAATCGAAGCATCCTTCTTTTATTACTCAGGAATTGTTTAGCCGGATGCACAAAATATCAAGTTGTAGGTTATCAATTTTTTGACTATGCCTATATAACTTTCATATGCATCGTCTTACCGAAGGTCCAGTTAAAGACTCTGTGTTGACAGACCCAATATAAATAACATTGCATGCGGCCCCTTGTTTCAAAAGCTCTGATGGAGTTGTAGCCGGTGTAGGCGTTGTTGGAGGAGTTTCAGCCTGGCTGTTCCGAGGGGTGTTTCCTCGTTGTGGTATTTCTTGATCTAGATGTAAAAATTCAGGATGATAAATTGAAGAACAATATTAAGATTATATAGAAGTTGGCCGGACAGTTTCGAGTACTCCTAAGATATGAGGTTTTATTTGTCACCAAAGGTAACACTCAGCAAGGTCTTCACACACACAACCAGAGCATAGTTTTGTATTTTTAGAGTCTAAAATTTGACCATCTTATATTCTTTCTTTTACGTGGCATATTTATGAATCATCTGCTATTCCAATACTGTATTTCTCATCAAAAAAGGAGATTATATAAATATAAAGACTTGATAACCGCAATACAGTAGAACTACCAAATTCACAGTTGAATGCTATAAATACAGCAATCCTTAGCAGGTAAAAATCTAAGCACTGTTATCTCTCGAGTGAAGATTAAATTGCCCATAAATCTCGTGATAATACGACAATGAGTCAAAATGCTAAGACACATATCTTGTAAAGTAAATTTAACCATACCTGCTGTAGGGATAAGTAATTTACATGGCAGTGCCAGAGGGGTGATAGTATGTTGATATACGAGAGCAGACAGACTCCCGAATACTGGTTCATTTGGACAACCTTTCAATTTCACTCCCTTAGAACAGGGTTCGATAAGAAAGTGGCGAACATATTCATTTGCCAAGTCAGCTGAGAAAAAAAAAATTGCAATGTCAATATTTTGAAGATTTAGTTTACTTGATTCACCAGGTAAGTATATATCAAATGGAACTGACTAAGTATAATATACAATTTATTATTTTCCCTTGTTTTCATTTCCGCCAAGAGATACCATAAAGCCAATATTGGTAAATATATATCAACCAATAGTACTTTGTGTTCTATAAAATACTCCCATTTTAGTTCGATATTGAATATTCTTGGCTACGCAAGGAAAATATAGGTTCTGTTAAAATAATATGATATATCAAAATAAAATGGCTTGATAAGCCATAATAAAATAGTATTCAGCTTATTTGCTACAATTAGCAATGATTTTTATTCGTTATTAGAAAATGAGTATACCAATATTAGATGAAATGGTCATATAGTGATAAGATGAGTTTTACTGCATATTATGTATTTTGGCACGGGAATTCATGTTAGAGAATATGGTAATGCGATTTGAAGTGTCTGATAAACTTACATCCAGGTTTGGCCTGTACATTTGGTGGCAGTTTATCAACCTTGAGTGCAAGTCCAAAAGCACCGGGAAAACAACGACTATCTCGAACAACGAAACTACCAGGTTGCTTGTTTCGAAGAATAGCAAGTGCCTGTGAACATATTACAATATAGGTTTTAATGCTTGGTAAAATGACATTAATAGATTAATATTGAAACATTTACCATGGAAAGAATGAAATTAAACCAAAAAGTTTTGAATTACCCTTTCCTGAATGGTTTTAAGAATATTTTGTGCAATTGAATCACGCAAATGTTATTTTATGGGAAAGCAGGGGTTCTCAAATTTTTCAAGCCGCGCCCCGAAAGGCGAAAGTATCTTTTATTAGAAAACACCTGGATGGGATCGCAATCTCTAAACAATAAATAAATATAAATATTCAAAATACGGCAAGCAAGATAAAATCTAACAACTATTTTTATTTTAACTAGCTTCACGCCCCACAAAAAAATTGTATACGCCCCATAGTGGGGCGCACCCCACCGTTTGAAAACAACAGATTTAAAGTCAGTTTAATTTTAAAATAAAAATTTTATACATTGTATATATATAAATGAAATATTCAATCATATTAACCTGATCTCTTGTAATATCCGGTTTATACCAGTAAGTACTCGTATCTCGGATAAATTTAGGAGCAGCAGATACTGATACAAATGGGGTGTCATTGCCCGCACGTTCAACATCTAAAAAAGAAAAACAATTTTCACCCATTTATGAACAGTAGATACTGGTGTTACTCATGTTTTTTTTCATTTTGTAACAAAGATATTATCAAAGTAAGTCTAAAAGGATGAAAAAATAACGATGTTCTGAAAATTTCTTATGATTTAAAGAAGTATTGTTACAGCTGAGGAGTTCGAATCTTGATATAGTACAAATTGTACTGTTTGACACAGTAAAAAGTATATAAACAAGAAATAATAATTAAATTGTGAGAAGATCCTCAATATCTGGGGTTTCTTTTATGAACAACAATGGAAGTTCTTAACTTGAGAATTAGTAATCAGTGAAATTGAAACTATATTACGTTGGAAGTAACTGAATTACTGATAATCAGAATAATTAAATACCTGAAATTGAAGACGAACTTGTATGTCCAGAATTTGGGCTTCCGAAACTTTCATCTCCAGATCTTGCACCAGAGGCTGCAATAGAAATAATTAGGTTAATGGCTGTTAATTCACGTTATTATTACATAGAAATTGAAAAGAGACATTTCTGTGACTCCGATTTGCATGATCAATAGACCAGGTTAACCCAGCTTATAACCACAGGAGAGTATATCAAACCAGTGATACCAAATCACATTTCTTGAACCAAAAAAAAATCCGTTTTTCCCAGATCCCGATTTAACATGACGACTAGACGAGCAAATGAAATTTTATTAAAGAGCAATGCTAAGCATATATTCTTTTCATTCTTATATTTTTCTAAAAAAAAGGATTTTTATATTTATCCAGATGGAGAGGAGTCACATAGCGAGCCACAGCCACTCGTCCGATTACCAGTCTATGTGGTTTATGGGAATAGTCTAACAGTAATTATTTCCAGATGCAAGAATCTGATACCGTAATATACCAATGGCTACGTGAACCACCCTACGACGGCGAGGAGTCCGGTGGTGTATGGGAACAGTCAACCAGTAATTTGTTTTAGATGCAAGAACTTAATGCCGTAATATACTAGTGGAACATACATGAACAACCACCATACAACGGCGAGGTGTCCGGTAATCCTCCACACATAATTATCCTTCACGAAATTCTAATGAATAAAGTTGGCTAAATTTTCTACATACCTCCTGGTGTAAGCATATGTCTTTCATAACTCGACAATTGACTCCCAGGTCTCATGATATTGTTGGGAGTCATAAACGCACCAGGTGATGGAACAGGCATCCCATGATGTGCCGCTGCTGAGCTGGAACTCGCTGAAATTAAAAGTCGAAAAGATTAAATACCAATCTATTGATTCTGTGGATGTATTGATGCTCAAACAGTAATAGAATCAAGGAATTCAATATTTCATTCAAACAATTTCTTGTTCATATAGCCCAAGGAAAAGCATTGGATATCAAGAGATATTGTAAACGAGATCAAAATTGATTAATGATTAGAACTTCTCTGGAAAATATTAGCTGAAAATTAATGTTATTCACATAAATCAAACATTATTCATTTCTCCTGGGGAGTAGACTTGATGTTTAAAATTACGAGCTTCCGCACACTCTACATGTCACTTACAAATCCTTTTGAACTGGCAACAGATTTAAAACATTGTATCTCGAAATAAATAGGGATAAACTACTGACATATGTCAGTGATTCAAGATGCTATTGTTATTTCAGCAAAAATTCTGGACTTACACGATGAAAGCAAACTGCTATTAGAATGTCTTGTGCTTGGTCCATCAAGTGAATCGGAACTGTCGTGTCTTGAATTTGACGAGGTTGCAGCTGGCGAATGCGAGCTGTGAGATCCACCACTGTAGATAATAGAAAAATGAAATATTTTTAGAGCGAAATGCATTTTGAAATATATAATCTATCAGAGTGTGTAAGAAGACCACTACCAGTAGTTTCGATTACTTAATTGATAACTATTTATGGTTATACACCGCCAATCATTGAATCACTAAATCGCTCAACATATGAACCATTTGTTATAATTTAGCTAATCTTCGAATGTAAAAATAAAACAAACATGAGGCATTTGAATATATTTGAGTAGCTCACATTTATTGTACCGTTTCAAATTCTGTGTGTGTTTCGCTAAGCAAGATTGACATTAACTTTAATATACAGGGGGCAGAAAACATTGCTATTCAAAACCTGACATTCGTGATGTGACATTTTGCGAAACCCTAAAAGCTTTGGCATTTAGAACCATTTGAATACCTGTTAAGCTGCTGATGAGAACGTGAATGATGTTGCCTTAGGATCTCTTCAATGCTTTCTTCTTCTTGTGGTGATTGTTTTGGAGGGATGGCATGCAGATGTGCTTCTTTCGGAGTATTGGTAGGTTGGGGAAGTGGTAGATTTGTTGGTGGGGTCAAGCTTGTGGGCGATTGAATGTCTTTCTTTACTGAAATGACTTTCGTGCGAACTGTAGAATCACTTCTCTCAATTGGTCGAGCAACTTGTCCCTGCTGAAGGACAGGGAATGTAACAATTTACATAACTATTTCAATATAAAAAATGATAACGAAGTCGAGTAAATATGTATTCTTTTGGTAACGTTGACTATAAACAAGATGAGATAGATTTCATAGCAAAAAATTCGTAAAAGTTAAAATCGTATATGAGCAATTGAGAGATTTTTTTCAAATTTAACTCTTTATAAGCAACAGTGAATTATTATATGGGATTACTTGATTTAATATAATAATAGAATGACATACACGCCGCAAGATGCTGTAAAACAGGTCATCCTATGGAACAAAAATGTGAAATTATGTTGCAAATATTTATTTTTGAATTGAATTAATGTAATAGAATGGAATACAAGCAAACCTGCTCTACTGGGGAATGTTGCTGCATTTTTTCTGGTACTCTAGGTGGATGCTGATTGTTTTCTACAGGTCTGCAAGATATAATAACAAAATAGAACAAAATAGGTTAGGACTGCAAGTTGGCTTTCTGAAAAATGGCTAGATATGGTTTTTGATAAGTTATGATTGAAAGTAACATATTAGCTATAATATTGAATTAAATATCACTTTAATGTATAATGGTATCATTAGATGGATTAAGATATTTATTCTTTGAAGAATCAATTTGATAAGATAGATTAACCACAAAGTATTCCACATTCTTTCATTCGGTTACCAAGGTCGAGATAAGGTGATTCGATGAAGATAATGCATTTTTGTGCAACAAAAATTGACCCAATTCATACACTGAATATGAGAAAATTTTATTTACCTGTTGTCAGGCTTATCATTCAGTAAATCAGTCTCTCTTATGTGTCCATTTTGTAGTGCAACTGTATTGACAGGTACAACTGAAATAAATTTTAAAGTTTCCTTTATTGACACTAATTTTAAAGGCTAGTAATCTTGGCCTATAAGCTAAAATCTGTAAAACTGTCTTCGACTTATCAAACCATGAACTAGAAACAAATTTAAAAAAAAACTTGAAATCGTGAATATAAAATCTTTTATTAAAAGTAAACAATAGTACAATGCAATTCGTCCATCTACCTATTAGCCCATTCAATCTAGGACTAGTAACTCAGTATATTAAACCAGTTGAGATGTTACATAAACATTTGCCGAAAGAATCTATGGTAACAAGATATCAATATTTCAACACCAGTTAATTCCAATTGTTATTTCACTCCCATCTACATACAAAAAGTCATCTATAAATTTATCGGCCATGCTTGGTGGGTAGTGTATATGAAATCAGTACAGAACGTCACCACTAGTAACTTTACATTGCCTATTGTCATGTTCAGGTAATATCACGAATAAACATTATTTAGTGCATTCTTTCCATTCTATACTGTTTGTACGATTGAATAACTGATATTTGATATAACATCTTGTCTGCAGGCAGGTAAATATGCTCAAGTTTTTGCACTGATTTGCAAACAAATATTTTATAACATATACAAGGAATTTCTGCGTCGAAAAAATTCGGTTCAATTTGTGAATGTACTTTTGAATAGTTATTTGATTCTGTATATAACGTATCCACTGCTTCATTTATCACCTCATTATCACTGATAAACCTCGATGTTAGCTAATATATAATAGTGATGAAAATTTTCCCAATCAATATTGTTAAGGTTTTTCCGGGGAGTATACAGTGTTGGCAGAACTGAAGTGTTAAAAAGATGTCATTAAATCTGCTATTTGGAGTTTTAACCGACTGGTTTGGAGCGAAAGTATTAAATATATAAAAAAAAATATCATAGTTAGTCGATGTACTACAGAAATAGCAAAAACAGCAATACCAACAGAATCATCATGGTATCTACTGCAAAGCTTACCTGGGCCCTCTTTCTGTGGTCTATTCTGCGCGATTTCTTTAGGGGTTTCTTCCACTGTAGGTTTCGTTGTCTTGTCTGTGGGTGATTGTACTTTTACTGGAAGTTCCGCATGATGCAATGATTGTGTAGGTTTATCTGTTGGTTGTAAATGCAATATAGAAAGAGCAGTCTTCTGTAGTCCAGGAGGCGATTTTGCACGACCTAAATGAAATAATAATGCAAAATTAATTTTTATTTATTAACGACAAACAAACTTGACTTGTTTGATAAATACATCTTGATCGCTTATATTGAGTTGAGCTGAAGTATAAACTTCAGCTTGAAAGAAGTACTAACATCATTGACACAATACTATAAAATGTTGACTGGAACCTGAATCTTCACACAATTCGACATATTCCAATGCTTTTCACATGAAACAATTTGAGCATAAATTAACATCAACTTGCAATTTTTTTCTAACAGATTTAGAGATACTTGTCAGTTTTCAATATTATGTTAGCAAGTAACATGAAAAATAAACTTGTCAACACAATTAACATTATATTTTGATTAAAAACATGACTTGTTACCTGGAGATTCGTTATTTACATAAGGAGTGGGAGGAGATAGAGGGAATGTAGGTGTGTCTGGCAGATCATCTGGTGCAAGATCTTCTTTGTAACTGTGAATGTTCTAAATATAACCATAATATTGTTAGTAAATGAATTGGCCGTAATATGGTTGACTGACCTGCTCATGGAGTCTGTCATTAATCTTTGAGAAAATGAATCTTAACACTGACGAATAATCAGATAAGAAACCAGAACTAAATTCCGAATACCAGTCAGAATGCAGCGTCTGAATGACAAACTATGGACGTAATCCGTGACCAAAAATAAACTTGATTAACTAGAGGCCGCGAGTAAGGAGACCAATCTTAGTGCATATATTCACCAGTTAAAATGTAGAAGAAACTTTCTCTCTTGATAAAAAAATATGGTTAATTAATCAACTAAATACCTAATGTTTGACGCACCAAGAGGCAAGCTTACCAATTAGAGTTGTCAATGATATAGGTAATCAAATTTTTAACTTTGCGAATTTGGGAATATATAATTAGACAAGTCATCATAACTAAAAAATGTCACAAAATTGTCAGCAACTAAACTTAACAGTAAACTTATCAATAACTGCTTGGGTTACGTCTATTACAATTGTGTGGAAAGCCATATCTACGTGCTAATAGGGAAAACAGATGCTGACATTATCAAAGCGGATAAGAAAGCATGTAGCTTGTTTTCCCAGACAACAGTATTGGTTACTAAGTATAGAGACAAACCCTAGGAGAACATCCTCTTGAACATAGCGTAATCCCCATAAGTGGGATATGATGTATTGACAACAACGACAGCGTTCGACATTTTGGGGATAGGCTACTTCTGTGGGTATGACATAAATAACCTAAAATAACGAGATACTAGAAAACACCCTACGTTTATAGTTTTCAATTATGTTCTGATGAGAAAAACTGACATCGAATCAGATATCATTCTATTTGTCATTGAATATTTATATTTTTAGCATTGAGCGATTATTTGTGGAAGGTTGCTCTTGGCGACATCAAGGTTAGATCTGTTTTAAATGTGAAACCTAAAACAGGAAATCACCTCACGCCCTTGTGCAAACAAACATGATTTACTGTCTTTTCGGTGACACACTTAGAAAGCTCAGGCAAATTTTCCCAGAAAAAAAAGTCACAAAAACCATATGTGGCTAGACACTTTTGAAAGTCTCACATAATATTTACGCGTTCCTTATTGAGGCGAGTGATAACTATGTGCTAAGTAATCATTACAAATATTCCCAAACGCCCACCAAGACATGAAAAAGTATTTATGGCACAAGTTATGCATATCACTAATACTCAATAGAATCTACAAACTCCCAGATACACACAACTATGAAAAAACTTTAGGTAGGATTTCAAAGGAGGACTATTAATAACATACCTCCTTTGGTTTTGAACCAGGATTCATGGACAAGGCTTGCAATAGCTGAGGTGATAATCGCTCTTCAAGCGAAATTCTACGTTTTGGAGGTGGTGCTGGCGCAACATGCTGTCGTCTGGTCACAGATGTTTGAGGTGGAAATATTTGCTGCTTCTTTTTCCTGGTAAAATGATGATAATCATAACATTTTGTTACATTATTGAAACAGGGATAGGACAAAACAATAATGCTTAAAAATAAAACTAGTTAAGATAGAATCATATTTAGGAAAGAACCACGAATGATGGCGACCAATCATTTATGCGACTTGATATCCACCGCTAATAAAAGAATTAGAAACAGTTGGTATGTCCTGCAATATTACAAGGCTGATGCTAAACTTCTTAAATGAAGTAATTTTGACCGATGATGAACACAATTATTCAACTCAAGTGATAAAATTATTACACCAATGCCATTGAACGAGATAGAACAAACTAAATATTCAAAACCATCATGGATGTTATGCTCAAGTACATTTGAGGTGTACATTTTCAGGTTCCATGTATATTAAATAAATTAATACAAACTTTTCATGCAAATAGTAATTAAACCTACCGAGAAGATTGGGGTCCAGGACTGAAAACATCATCATTTATATCTGAAAGATAAATTGATGGATGGAATTAAATGCAAAGGTAGCTAATAAAAGAGTTTACCAAACAGTGATATTTGTTACTATGTGTTATGTGCTATTTGTTACTATAACAACAGTGTTATTTGTTGTTATATTTGATGGAGTAAATATATGATATCAGTGAGAATTTAAAATATGTCATTCAAAAATATATCACTATAAGCATTTAGCTTATGGCACTGTAAAACTCAATCAAATTCCATTTCGCTATATAAAAGAAGCAAAGATTGCCAATTCCAATTTAGAATGCAATTAAAGCACTTTGAGCTTTCAGTCCCTCACAAGCAGCTATTAATTGTTTATTTACTAGTCCGTGACGAAATGAAACAATTCCTGTTACCCACAATTTATCACACTTGGTTGAAATGTCATTTTATATTTGAGATTTAACTGGCAATGCCAACATAATACGCACTGACCTAACTAATAAACGAATAGCTAATTATATTCTTCAGACTATTGACCTGTTTTCTTTGTAGCTATGGTGGCAGCAATCTTAACTTCATGAGTAATTCCATATCTATCCACAAATATAAGTGGACTTCTATAAGTTGCATGAACTAATCCAACATCAAAGTCGGTACTTTCTTTAGGACATATTGTTAAATAGGGCAAGTTATCATATTCTTTGGATATGGTACAGGTCTCCATTGTTTTTGTATATCAATATATTCCGAAATTGTTCAGATGAGATTATACCTAATACACTCTTCCAGTAATATCATACAGGCATTCCTAAGATATTGCTGCCTCAGAAATTAATATCATCATTTTCTAAATATGCTGATATTAAACAAAAATACACATATTGACAAACAAAACAAAAAACTAATGCAAACAGAGAATTGAGCTATATAAAACATGAATGTTCAAGTTCTTTCTTCATAACCTTATCTCTTCCTTCGCCATTAATCTTTATAACCTGCGACACCACATACTGTTGGCTTCTACATTTTGACATATAACTGATTTTTCAGAAAACACAATGCAGCTGAGTTTTTCCTTGTTATGGCCCAGTGAATATAGCATGGACTTGAGACCGATAAAAGCCCATGAGAAAACTATAAAAAAATACAAAAAGTATACATGGACTTTTACAGGATAATGTCAGCACTGCATAATGAATTTGTACTATATTAAGTGAGGGAATAAGACAAAAAACACAGCATTTTGTAAAAGAGTGAAAAATGTGGTAAAATAGTTTCTGTTTTCATTGATTTAATTGACTCAATTTTATGGTAGAGCTTTCAAATTTTTTTACTCGTGTGGTCACACGCCTATCACCACGGTCTCTTACACATCATTGTGAAGCATAAACAAGACCCAGGGCACAATCTCATGGGGGCAGCACATTAATCCTTGTTTCCAAAACACAGAAACTTTCCACCTCATCGATTTAGGCGCCACCCCATGTTGATAAGATCGCAAATGATGATGTGATTGCGGAAAACAAAACCAAGAGTATGAAAGAGGTTTTAGCAGCCGAATTCTTGAAAAACCCAGTGATGAGTACCAAATTTGGTAAGATTTTAACAGTTATTATATTGATTTACAAACGTTTAGAACTTCCCTAATATGAAGCAGTTTGTCTGTTGCGGTGAAGAACCCTTTCTTTTATCTATCAAATTGAGGCATCTGAACTGCAAAATGACATAAAATTTATCACACTTATACATTTCCCCAGTAATACATAAGAATATAAATCTCACCAGATCTTTCGCTTTCACTCATCCTTTACTCCAAACCTGACTGACTACTATTTGCAAATATGTGGCAAAACAAAACCAACTTAGAAAGCTACAAACCTTTAAATTAAGACAGCAGCTTGAACTGTCAAACTCTTATCCGAAACCTGGCTAAATACCATCAGCAAAAGTATATCAAAATAATTAAATAAATAAACTGAATGAAATAAAGTCATTAGGAATAAAAATGAGAAACCTTGAAAACCTGGAAATAGTCAAACAATAACTCTTTACCTTATACTTGATAAAGTATCTGCTTACTTCCAACTGCAAAATTTTAAAACCATAAAAATCAAAAATAAGAAGCAAAATAAATCTCAACTCATAACTCACTTCAGCTTGTCCAGTGAACTGATCCACTAAAAGCCTGATCCTTCATTTAAATGTGAAGTTTAAACTCCTACAGACATTGATCAACACTGCTCAATCATATTCATTGGAGATAAGTATATATCTTGGCGATGCATCAAAATCAATTTGGATTGTAATCAAATAAATATGCCCAGCAACAGGCATATGACATAAATCTTCAACCAAAAAAGAACTTTCTTTGAAAACAGTGGCATAATTCTTCTTTTTACAAATCTTCACTGCACAATTCTTCAAATAAACTCAACTCTTCAAAAATATTAAAAAATTTTCCTTTGCTTTGGTTTGGCTTCGGTTTTAATCAAATAAATATACCCAGGAACAGATATAAGACATAAATCTTTAGCCCAAATAGACCTTTCCTTGAAGTGATCGGCATATTGCTTTTGTTTACGAAAATTTTCTCATCTTGACTACAGAATTTTGCACATCAACTTTTGAATAATACAAACAACTTTTTCTCATTAGCTTCACTCGTGTCTTCAACCATACAAAATATGGCACAGAGAAAAAATCTATGCGAGCTATAGATGCCAATGTATGAAATATGGCTACATAGCTGATGTGGGTCAACAGCTGTTGCATTATTTTTCCAATACTATACTTGACCTGTTTCTAAGAGCATGGCAAAGATAAAGAATAACATTATTGGAATAACACATTTTCTACAGAAGATTTTGCTTTCGCATACGGCACAATACTTCACTGATTTTTCAACAAATTTCCTGCTGATAGGTGAGAATTTAACTTCAATCAGACTGCCGCATCTCTTAATTAATACTTCAACTTTGAATGTAATCTGAAAATATATCATTTACTTCAAATTTAAAATACCCCCACTATAAACTATATTCAATAAAGATAACAATACCAAAAATAGCACCACACTCCTTTTGTCTGCAAAACTAATATCTGGCAATACAAATTAAATTTCTACAAAGTAGCTACATAAAATTTATTGGCGATATGAAGCCATCTTCATTCATTATCAAAACATGATCCAATAAAGATTCAACAGAGTAGGTGATCCTAAACTACAGCTATCAATAGTTGATACAAAAATAAGAGCTAAAATCCTACCAAGGTACAAAAATAGAACTATGGACATCTCGCCTTATGTTAGGAAATGGTGTAGGTTTACAAGAACTGTACTGGTTTCCTGGGAAGATTCACGTATATCAGCACTTTGATATACTGTATTATGATTTAAAATATAAAACAACATTACCTCAGAAAACCAACTTGATATAACACAAAAGCACCATGGCTTACAATAACATTGACGTTCTGTTCCCTCATTGATATCAATTGCTATTAAAAGAATTTATTAATACAAGGCAAGTCATTGATTGAGTGCGCCCGCCGTCAAGACTAGTTCTATCTTTAAAAGGGACATTTCATAGGAACAACATAAACTTTTTTTTTGTCTTGTATCATCATCAAAGGAAATGCTAGGCGCCCTGATGACTGATGAACTTCCTTACCTGACTTTAACATTGAAATGTGAAAAAATCCTCTGATGAAAGAATGAGAGATTCCTTCTAATGCTCGGTTTTATTTCAAATTCTGAATATTTTTGACAAACTCGAGGTTCTAAAAACATATAAATTTCTAGCACAACTTCCCTTATATCTCTGTTTAGAACCTGCTAGCACTGATTTCATAATAATTATTGATTCAAATAAAATATGACTTACCTATAGGCTATATTATGCTGCCTGCTTTGCAATTATATTATTGACCACTGGGGATGGAATAAAAAGGAATTGTACTTGAAATTGTTGGAATTTAACTAGATGAATAAGATACTGCAAAAGACACATAATTGTGACATACCTTGATTTCCTTTGATAACAACATCAATTTCTTGAGATAAGCGTTTATAGGAGTCAAAGCTACTTCTTGATCTTGCAGGTGGTGGAGGAACAAAGAGAGAGCTGAAAAAATGCAAGAATACAATAAGCGAAAGTGCTATTGAGTCGAGTTTTAAATTAACAAGTTGAACTAAGCTTCAAAACACCTCGTTTTGACAACCTTTTTTCCAACTATCAACCTGCATATGGCATGGTCTTTCATTAATGTTCTTGTTTTATAGGAGTAAATAAAAGGAAAATCAGAACTCAGAGAATTTTGGTGATGTTGGTATAATCATATCTTACCAGATCATTCTACAATTAACAATAAGGAGAAAATTTAGGAAAAATAGTCCCCCGGTCACGTCATTATGTCTCAACACCAACTGCTAAAGATTTATCTTACTTGGATCCTTCTTGAGGTGTATTTGGATCCATTTTACGTTCAATCTCGAGAGTGAAAGATTTTCGTCTTCGAACTACTTGCGATTCCTGGGTCTGCCCAGATTTATCATCTAGAATAAGAGGAAAGATAATTCAGGACTTTATATTTATCCTAGGGAAAATTTAGTGACAAGTTGACACACTCATATCAAAAACTACTTCTTTTTCGTAAGATTACCAGCACAGATTAAGTTACCAGCACAACCTCCATAGTTTTTCAAATTCAGCTTCATTAGCCAACCATTGAAGCACATACAAACAAGTATATGCACAAGAAAATACAAAAAATATTTTGTACTGCAGATTCAGTCCAAATTTCTTACTCAAAAACTCAAGTCATATACCCCTATATACCTGGATCATCCATGGAACATGTCAATTGCGCAATACATCTATCAAGTTCAGCTAACTGTTCCTGTAAATCAGATGACAATATGTCATCATTGTCATTCGTGGGTGCTGGTTGTTCAACCTTCTTGGCTACAATTGGAGACCTGATAAAGAGATATGGAAAGATTTGGACATAGTAATTGAATATATTTAAAAAGTAAAAGAAGTACTGTTAAGTAATTGCGAAATACCTCTCTGTTTAGAGTTGGGAGCACAATTATCTAAGTCAGTTAATTGGATTTGACAAAAAATGTAGTTAGAGTCTGCCTATTTCAATGTAGTTGTAAATAATGATAATATCATAGAAATAATTCAATTAGAACTCTTATCAAATAAATTCTAACTTGAATTTTCCAAATTACAATATTAAGAGATAGTGATTTAAATGTTAATAAATCTTTGAGATATATTATTTAATTGCCTAAATTTTGGATTTCTAACGATAAATATTAAATGACTAAAATAGTGTTTTTTTTTCCCTTCACCTTAAAAAGACTATTTGTTTATTTGTTTTCTAAATTTCAGCAATTGAATTTCTGAATATGATACATAATAAAGTCACAGAACAAATAGGAAACCTAAAATTTTCTACTAAAATTTTTGTTTAATGTTCCCAACGAATCCCAAGTATATTTGTCCGGAAGAGACATTGGCATTGCTAATAAAATGGCTATTTCATGTCAAAACACTTGTCACAAAGCCAATATTGAATTAATAAACTGTAAACATGGGAAACATCTAGTCTGGTATCTTTTCTATTCAATTATATCTAAAGTAAATAATATAGGGAAATATTACAACAATTCAACAATAGGAAGATGGGCAGCACAATTTTATAATGGGGAAAGAATGGACCATAGAAAATCTACGACCAAAACAAAACATATAGTTAGTATTAGCCCAAATTTGATCTATATTTAAAATCAATTAAGATTTATTATCGGATAGGGCAGGTGGTTTATGACAGACATTTCGGGTCATGATCTGAAAATATGAATGAGATATAATTCAATTATAAAATCAAACAAAGCTTTCAAAATGAACGAAAATAAATAAAATATGACCCACCCAAAGATATGTTATATTAATGCATAGGTAAATACGAAAATAAGGAACACATTTAAAAAATGGAAGGTTAATGTCCTTGTATGCAATTTGCTATATTTTTGATGACTAATAAGAATACGGAATAGTGCAAACAAAGATATTTTGTTTCTTTCTGTTCTAATTATAATAGTAAAAAGTTAACTGAATTTGAAGTCTAGGAACCACTGGCTCACAGATAACGAAATAAGAGACTTACTGTACAGGTGCATTTCTTATATGGCTAGAATCAGATGCTTGTTTTGTAAGTGGCCGTGACTCATGAGGTTGCCAGACATTCTGTGGTTGGTTGTGCTGAACTGTTGTTCCTCCCATACTATTCTTATTTGCATTTGTTATCGGTGGCATCTGAATAAATAAACAAATAAAATAAAGTCAAATTAAATTGGCAAAGTATAGCACAATATATAAAATTCAAATACCACATTGTGAACATTGAATATATAGGAAATATACAAAATATAGGATTGAATGCTAATAAAAACAATACAAAATAACATAATATCATTCATTACCTGGTAGGCTAACATGAAGATATACAAGTGTAATGCAATTAAAAGCAGTAATAAAATCTGATTATGATATAAAGGTTACTTTATCTATATCCTGTAAAAGGTTAAAAAAGATTGTAAATTCAGGACCCATAGCATTACTACGCATTCGCAACCAATAAAAAAATTCCTTAGATATGATATTTGCAGTCTATTGCAAAATTTCTTCAGCTGATATCTACATTTGTTCATATAAGAATAGTCTGATATTATCAGCCATGGGAATTGATAAGAAGTTATCTTTATAAGACATTTTTATATTGGTTGTATATTATATTCATCAAACATTTTTATATTGGTCTAAAGTTGAAGAAATCTCAACATTGCTAGATTCCCATAGTGCCCCATTAATATGTAAATAAAAGTCATAATAATGATAGTCGACCGCTTGTTCAAATTGATGAATAAAAACATATCTCATGAAACCTTTTAAAAAGTTTGAGTTGAGTCTACTCTAGAATTTTTCAAGTAATTGAGATAGACATGATTAATATTCAGTAAACAAATTACCAAATACTGACAGTGACAGACCACCATGTTTTGAGCAAAAAGTCAAAATAATCTTTCGGAGTAGGAGGGTTTAATAAGATGAGAAATTAACACCATAGATAATGATACCTCTATAAATTATTCTTATTCAAGTGGAGCGAAAGATAAATTATTCATGTTGAGGATTGTAGTCTAAACATAGACTCTGTTCAACCCAAGATGTTGAATGAACAAAGATCTAAAGTTAAACGTAGAAAGCTCCATACTAATAACAACGAGCACGGTAATTACGGGATATGGAAAATATGAGACAACGGAATGCACATTTCTAACGTAATATTGCTACAAAATTTCCAAACCTACCACTGTTTGATTAAACCTAGAGTTAACAAGATCTAAGTTTGCTTTCGCCAATTAGCGCGACAGCGTGAGAAGTTATGTGTACCAATGACACAGTGTGAACGGAGGTGTTTAAATTTTCCCATGCCCAACTTAACAGTGACGTATCGGTTTCATCGTTGTCACTAAGTTTCCGTGTGATTTCTACTTGTGACCGATCTGACATGGACCTGACAATGATTCACGTTGCTAAACGACGAACGAATGTTTATTTCGAGTATTTCTGGATAATATAAGGTTTTGTGATGCCGATTCTCGAGTTGTCAATCAATGTTATCTAAGTTTCAGGTACTAGTGGAACATTGTATAATACTTTCTTTTGAGATTACAACATTCTCCCTTCGTGTGTCGCCGACTTTTACGGGAGCTAACTTGGAACGCACGAACGGCGCCAAATCGCCGATTCGGATCATTACATTCAGGAAATTGACTGAATGAAAAGCGTGCAATGCGATTATATGCTCGGAAATACACTTAATCACACACTGACGAGCATGGGGTCAGACATATTTCGGGTCTTCGATAAGCGATTCATCATTCGGCCTATTTAGACATGATTATTCCCCGTTATTGTTCAATTCATGCGAACTCCTTTCACTTAACACGCGTAACGAGAAAGTGGTATCTGTGCATTTCCGTCAATTCATCATTCATATTGTTCCAAATTGAAAACAAATGCGCCCTGAAAATTAACCTATCAATCATACGTCTACGCAACCAATTTGAATTGTTATTCTCGTTGAAGTTAAAAAACTTCACGACAAATTTTAAAAATATAAAAAACGCATAGTCTTCCGTATGCCGTTTTCCGAAAAAACAACAACAGAAAGTCCAAATTTTGCGATATCATGGAATAGAAAACACATTTAAATTTGGAACAGTACCACTGACGTCAAAATTGTGAAATAACAAGTCTTTATTCACTACACTTGAAGCCTTTATCTCATCTCGAGTTAAGTTGGCTCCATTTTCGGAAATAAAGTTTCATTTTCGGAAATAAAGTTTCATGTTTGCTCTAAGTATTTGTCTTCTGTATCATTATGTAAGGTTGATACCGCCCATCTGGATGGATATTAATAATTTCCTTTAATGGTTTCGAACGATTTCTTAATTAGCAATAAATTACTTTTATATGGCGGCATATCTAGTAGATGTATCGCGCTCAGGTACTATTGACACGCACCTTGATTAATTTGGCTGTTATAATAACGCAGAAATATCAGACGAATTTCTAAGTAGCATATAGACTCATATGTGATAGGCACTGCGGTCCCACGTATTGCCATCTACCGTAAGTTCTAATGAACATTTTATTACGATTCTCAATAAGTAACTTATGTATATAACTACCAGCTGTATATAACGTCCTAAATATTATTTAATGAAACTTTATGGGTCTCTGTGCCTTCACTCTGAGCTCCTTGATAATATGATTATCACCGATTTAGTTCAGTTTACCAATTCATTCCGCCGTGTGTGAGACGATGGACATTGGCGCATAATTCCGGGTTGGGCCGGCCAACAAAATTTCGCTAACCTAAGAATTTAAAAACGCACCAACTACTTCAATGTTGCACACTTGCTCTGGTTAATGCTCTGTAAAAATAATACGACGGAATAATAATGAAAATTGCCTACTTAAGTGGCATATATTTATTTGATGCGAATTGGACCATAAAATTACTCAAGAAATGGTCGGCACAGGTGTTAATAAATCAAACAGCCGGTTCAAACAATGACACAATATTTGTGTTATGTCGCGCAAGAGGATTAAAGATCGAATGACAAAAAATTCTAAACTTTGACACAAACAACCGCTCCATATAAGACTTTTTCAGAAGAGTTACTCAGACTTGCTAATCTCTGTTAAACCAACATCGTCGCTATTGAATCGCCAGACCTTGAAAATTAAAAATATCTGGCAACTAGATCGTTCTAAAATTCTAAACACTGAAGCATATTCCACTATATGCCCATGCCGCATCTAGTTATGCGCCAGGCTAATCGTGTAATGCATAGACGAGAAAAACATTCGATTCAATAGTCGACTTTCTATATGCCTAACGTTCATTTGCACCAGGGTTTTATATATAGCTGGGCCCGAGGTGGACCGAGTCTTCTTTGAAATATCATTTCATACCAATATATTCTTCGAACGATAGTCTTCATGGTAACACGTATATGTATTTTCAAGAAGCATGAAGGGTTGATTAAAGTTATTGATTCAACGGCTTAATGCGGCTATACCAAGGATCACATTACTTCGGGAGCGGTTTGAATGCTACATTGTACAAACTAAAGGTAGAAAGATTGCTAAATACCCCATAGCATCCATCACTCTCGTCAGTAAAACGTATTTATTAATGTATATTAATGTAAGGATTAGCTTGAGAAAACACTAGCAACCCCACTTCACAGTGATCAGATAATTTTCCGGTTTCTAAGTGCTACCTTAAAGACTAAAACCACTAATAATTCTCAAAAGGACGGACTACTAATATCTGAGTGCTTTGTTTTTATTTCACACTCTCAATTTCTCATACACTTCGGTTATTCTTAGAATCGATGAAACTTGATAAAAGTTAAAACGACTAATATTACTATTATCTGACGTCAGGACATCCGTAAACAAACTGAATACGTTAGAATAATAATTCTACCGTTAATACCAAATATGTAGAGCGTTCTGAAAGATATACGCATAAACCATAATATTTTGTTCATTTCTAACAGTCCTCATTAATTTTTTTACTTCATTCAAACTTAGATGAATTCTAATACGAGTATTGCAAAGGGCTTGTCGTTAATATTTCCATTTTGCATTTGTCGAAGCCATACGACAGTACGATTCCAATATACGACAGATCTATATGTTTGTGACGTGCTTGGCAGAATAAATTGTAAATAACCAGAATATACTAAAATTGTGAACGACTACAAAAAGCATAGAAGTTGGAATAACACAATGCATAACTCCAGTATCTATAGTCTTTGGCATACTTTTTAATCTATCTACAAAACTGGTGACTGTTATCATGTTTTGAACTGAAAATTTTGTTCCCCAATTTTAAAATTTAAGCCAAAACCCTGTACTTATTCTGCACTACGCATATTACACGGTACCAGACATCTCCAGAACTTTTCTCACGATATTCTTGTTAGCAGCAAGACAGACCACTTCAACAATGACTTAGTAAACTTGAAATATAAACTTTAAATTGACGACTAAGCTATCTCATAATTTGTACGAAATTCTCCTATTATTTTCCCGTCTATTCCTAATTCTGATTCATTAAGATGAAGTATTTTTCTCAAGAATTTTTTACAAAGTGATGATTCAGAGAAAAACAAAATAGCTTTTTCATGTGGCGTTAGTAAAACATGCAAGCGTGGGCGAAATTGAATCAGTGACCCAGAGATAGATAAGCAAAATCAAAGTAGTAAGTAACATTAAATTCTTTCATCAAAAAATTGTTCTACGCAGTGTTTGCCAATTTATTTTAGCTGTGACGAAACCGCAACGACCGAAAAAACGATATTTGAATTCGGGAACTTTAAACTACAACATCTTATTTTTTAGGATATTTAACAACTCAGTCACAACCTATTTCGTCTGAAAGTTCCTTGACGATAATGCCAAACTTTTACATGTGAGAGTCAGCTTTTAGACAGATCGGGTTTCCGTTCGTAAATACATTACGTAAAATAAAACTTCCTTTTCTCCCACAGTGCACGAATCTAAAAAATTTCTTATCTTCAGGTTCCTTTTTAATCACGCAAGAATGGATACTAGAACTGATGTGTAGAAAATATGGATACTCCTTTCCGCGGTCAACTACCTTTATTTGCTGCCAATGGGATTTTTCCACGTAAACTAGAAACTGGTTAGCCATTTCCATAATTAAACTA